GACGACAACATTTTTTGAATTGACTGTATGGAAAAGAGCGTTATATAAATAGATATCATTATATATCATTATAGGATTAATAATAATCATTTATTCTATTTTTAGTGTATTCCATCTGAAACAATATACTAACTACATGTAGAGAGTTAATTGCTGTATATTTACTTTTTATTTCAAATTTACGAGACCAACAATGCCCTTTGGTCTTGGAATGCACTATTCAGTATGCAGTATTCAGTATTCGACCTTTTTTGAAATAGATGTATATTATAATTCAAGTGCAGGTTGCTAATCGGTCTCAGATTTCAGATTTCATTGGACTACGTTTTTGGAAATAGGTGTATGACTATTCCAGCGCAACGCGCAAAAGTATGACCACATTTAATCGCATACTTCTATGCACAGGCTTTTTCCTGCCAAACACTAAGCGTTTACAAGCCTTAGCTGCCAACTTCGCATCGAAATGTGTCGGTTTAACGAACAGAACCCGTGCATGGTAGTATGTGAATACATTTAATGTGGTCGAAAATTCCAAATCTTTTGTCAAATTGTGAGAAAAATTGTGAGTTGGGTAAAAAGAAAGCTTTTTGTCACCAAGTCCAAATATCTTGTCAAAGTCAGCCAACATGGGGGCTAAAAAGCCATATACACATCAAGAATTGAAGACTTAGCTCTATCATAATAAGTAGTGGAAATCCTGAAAGAACTCTAAATCTTTACTCTCTTTAAGGGTTGAGTTAGAAGAGAACGAGTTGTTTACCTTAATATAAAAGCTTAATTGCAATCATCTTGAGATTCTTTAACGTTGTTGATTTACGATTAAGTGTGTAATGATCAAATTGATACCTTGTTTACTAACGTTAAAGGGGCACTTGGACATGGATGGAAAGTGGAAATGACTTCAAACTTAATTGGTTTAACTTTTCTATTTGGCACCAATAGTAGCAAAGCAACATATTTTCTTCACAGTACGTCAAAAGTGGCGGATAAAAAAGATCAATCATAGAGTACTATAGGTTTTGCTCATTTGTGTTGGATTCGGCGAGATGCGACGTCTAGACTGGACCTAAGTTATATATTAGTCATATCTTAGTTATATATTAGTTATATAATATTTATGTATTAGCTATATATCATTTCATATATCGTAGAGTCCCACCTGACAGGCGCATTTGGACACATTGGAAAATGTGCGATATAAATAAAGTATTATTAGTATTAGTACTATCTAAATCATGAGCAAATGATGTCATTTACTCAAGCCTGTTGTTCTTTTAACTTTTAAACCAAACTTTCTTGGTGAGAAATGCAGAATTTTTTGGTAGAGTAAATCTTGAAAGTCATCTATATTCATCGTTAATTTACTTCAACTAGAAGTAATTACTTTCCAAATTTGATGGATTTTCGCCTAAGTGCCCCGGTTTTAAGAGTTTTACTTAGACAAAGTAAACATCGTCCAGCATTGAATCAAACTTCACTGGAATAATCTTTAAGGGTCTAACCATCACTGGTTAAAGTTTTTTCTTGATATCCCGATTAATTTTTTACGAAATTCTAATGGGGTCAAAAATAATCCGTAATCGTTAAATTTAGTGACGAATTATTTTTCTACTTTTAAAAACACTAAAAACCCTTGATTTTAAAACCCTAACACGGGCGCCTCATTTTATTGTATGTTTGTCTGAATCGATAGCAGTTTAAAAAGTTTCAATATTTACCAAAGAAATCACGGAAGGACAGGAAAATTCCTGTTCTGTCGCAATTTAAAAAACTAAAAGCAGCGCAATCAGCATATTCGTTATCTTTTGTGAGTGGACTTCTATCAAGAGCAGAGCGAACACGGAAAATAGACTCAAACGAAGCATGAAAGTCTTAATACTATTTCCTTTTATTGTTTTCTTTGGCGGAGGTTTCGCACAAACGCAGGTAAGTCTTTTGCCACAATTTATCTTACCTTTTATTTTAACTTTTAATTTTTGGTTTCCTTCCTTCCTTCCTTGCTTCCTT